TGGCGGGCTCGCGCAGGCCGACGCCGCCCAGCAGGTTGCCCATGGAGAGGCATCGGCCGGCGGCCCATAAGATGAATTTTAAAGACTGGAAAAATCAAATGAGCAATAACACAGTTGTAATGGGGAATTTTAATACCCCACTGTCACAGAGAGATAGAACTCCTAGGCAAAATATCAGCAAAGAAGTAATAAAACTAGACCAAGCATGTGAAGAAATGGACTTGCTAGACCTTTACAGAGTGTTCTACCCAACAACATCAGAACATATATTTTTCTCAGCTGCACATGGGACATTCTCCAAAATAGATCATATACTAGCACATAGAGTATGCTTAAATAAATGCAGAGGAATTAAATTTATCCCTTGCATATTATCTGACCAGAATGCAATAAAAATATACATTATTGACAAAATATTGCAAAATATCCATAAACACATGAAAATTAAATAAAACCATTCTGAACAATCAATTGGTCATAGATGCAATTAAAGAAAATATTGAGCTATATTTACAATAGAATGAAAATATAGATACAATTTACTGGAACCTGTGGGATGCAATAAAGCTCTCTGCAGTGGGAAATTTATAGTCACAAATTCTGTCATCAGGAAAACAGAATGAGCCCAAATAAACAATCTTATACTGAAGCTCTGGCTCATACAAGAAGATCAAATCAAACTTAAAGCTCAAAGAAGGCAGGGAATCATATAGATCAGAGCAGAAATTCATGCAATGGAGACAAAGAAAAAATACAAAGAATTAATGAATTGAACAGTTGCCTTTTTGAAAGAATAAATAAAATGCATAAATCTGTATCAAAGTTCATCAAATAAAGGGAAAATTCAAATACATGCAATAAGTAATGAAAAGTGTGAGATCACTACAGACTCTATAGAAATTCAAAAGCTCAACCACTATTTGAAAATCTTTTTCTGTTTGTTTATTTTAATTTTGTGTTTGGTAAAGGGTTTCACCTACATAGCTCAGAATCTTAGTGATCCTCCTGTTTTTAGCCTTTCTTGATCTGGGATTACAGGTGTGTGTCACCATGCCTGGTACTGGCATGCAGTACCAAGGATCGAACCCAGGTCCCTGTGCTTGCTAGGCTGGTGTTTACACTGCTGAGCTATTTCTCTGGCCCTTAGTTTTGAAAAATCTGTATTCTCACTGAATGCAATACAAAAAATGGGCAGATTGCTAGATATTTATAAATTACCAAATCTGAATCAAAAGGATGTAACAATTTAAAATAACCCAATAGCAAGAAATGAAATTGAAAATGTAATAAAAAGCCTACCAACAAAGAAAAGCTCAGGTCCTAATGAATTCACAGTGGAATTCTGCAAGAAATTTAGGGAAGATGTAATGCCAACTCTTCTCAAATGCTTCAGTGAATTTGAAAGAGAAGAAATTCTCCCAAACTCATTCTTGGAGGCAAGCATTTCTTTGATACAAAAACCAGAGAGAGCCAACCAAAAGAGAACTACAGACCAATCTCCCTAATGAACATAGATGCCATCCTCAATAAATACTAGCAAACAGAATGCAATACATGATCAAGATTTTACTTCATGAGCAAGTGGGATTCATGCCAGAAATGCAGGGATGGTTTAACATAACAATCCATAAGTGTAATACACCACAGCAACAAAATCAATGACAAAAATCACATAATCATCTCAGTAGATGGAACAACCGCTTTTGACAAAGTTCGACACTCATTTGTGATAAAAGTCCTACAGAAAATTAGAGCAGATGTTCTTTACCTCAACCTGATAAAAGCCATCTGTGACAAACCAGCAGCCAACATAATCCTAAATGGACAAAAACTGTAAGCCTTCACTTTAAAATCAGGAACAAGACAAGGATGTCCACTGTCACCACTCTTCTTCAGTATAGTTCTGGAAACCAAAGACAGAACAATTAAACAAGAGACAGAGAGAGAGAGAGAGAGAGAGAGAGAGAGAGAGAGAGAGAGAGAGAGAGAGAGAGAGAGAGAGAGAGAGAGGTAAAAGGAATAGTGATTCAAAAGGAAGAAGTGAAATTATCATTATTTGCAGATGACATAATTATCTACATAGAACACTCAAAAATTACACGAACAGACTTGTAGATTTAGTAACCAAATTCAGTAGTGTAGCAGGATACACAGTCAATACTCAAAAGTCAGCAACAGTTCTCTATACAAACAGTGAACACACAGAGAGAAATTAGGGGAACCAAGCCTTTTATAATAACATCCAAATAAAATGAAATATTTAGGAATCAATCTAACAAAGGTAGTACAAGATCTATACTGTGAAAATTGTAGCACTGTGAAAAAAGAGATTGAAGAAGATTTCAGAAAATGGAAAGACATTCCTTGGTTGTGGATAGAAAGAACCAACATTGTGAAAATGGCTATTATCACAAAATTATTAAAATTAATATTACATGCAATCCTGATGAAAATACTGTTAGTATGCCTCAAAAATATAAGGGAAACATTCCTAACATTTATCTGAAACCAGAAGAGACCTAGGATAGCAAAAGCAATTTTGGACAGTACAGGAAAGGCAGGAGGCATCACAATCCTTGTATTGAAATTATCCTATCAAGCTACTGTGACAAGATCAGGATGGTACTGGTATAAAAACAGACCTGAAGATCAGTGGAACAGGATGCAAGATGCAGACACAACTACACACTCTGCCACCTTATCTTTGACAAAGGGGCTAAACATATTCATGGGAAGAAAGATAACTTCTTTAACAAATGGTGCTGGAAAAAATCAGCTTTCCACATGCCAAAGGCTAAAATTAGACCCATGTCTAACATTATTCACTAAACTACAATCAAAATGGATCAAAGATTTAAACATTAAAACAGAAACATTAAATCTATTAGAGAAAGTAGGTAGAAATCTTGGAGATACATGGGTTGGTAGAGAGTTTATGAACAAAAGCCAAATCACAATTCAAACAATCAATAATTGGGATCTCATCTTTTTGAACTTTCTGCCCGTCAAAAGAAATCACCAACATAGCAAAAAGAAAATCCATGATTTGGGAAAAAATTATAACCAACTGGCCCTCAGACAAAGGCCTTCTATCTAGAACATATAAAGAATTAAAAACAAGTCAGGCGTCCAAAATTCAAAGACCAAATCCAAAAATGGGCATTGGAGATGAATACACACTTATCAGATGAAGAAATACAAATGGCAAATAAATATATGAAAAAATGTTCAACATCATTTGTCATTCAAGAAATTCAATTTAAAACAACACTGAGATTCCATCTCACCCCAGAAAGAATGGCTGTCATCAAGAAGTTAACCAATAACAAATGCTGGAGGAGCTCTGGGCAAATAGTCCTTCTCCAAAGTTGATGGGAGTGCACACTGGTTAAACCTCTATTGAATTAGTGTTCAAATTCCTCAAAAAGCTAGGGTTGGAGCTCCCATTCAACCCAGCTATTCACTTCCTTGACATTTTTCCCAAAGAACCAAAAACATCATGTTACAATACATGTGCAACCATTTTTATAGCTGCACAATTTGGCAAAGCTAAATCTTGAAAATGATCCAAATGTCCAGCAACTGAGGAATGGATAAAAATGATGTGTTACTTTTATGCAATGGAGTATTACTCAACTATTAAAAAAGATAAAGCTGGGGATTTTATAGGTAATTTATCACAGGGGCAGAAAAGCAAGTTTGAGGCTCAGAATTATTTAACACAGAATGAGTCAATGATAGTAACACATTCTGTTTCTAAATAATAAACTGTTAAATCATAAACACCCAGCCTCAATGTTTTATTTCAAATCATAAACCAAGGTATCTTTAAAATAAGATAAGTTCATCCCAAATCTCATCAGAAAGGCAGTACATCCCAAATAAGAACAAGGAGATCAGGATAAGAAGCCAAGGGACAGACAAAATAACTTAGTGATTAAATGCTGTGAAGAAAATAATAGAATTACAAAATAGAAAATCACTGAATGCTATGGCTTTAGCTGGAGACTCCAAGACTCAGCAAAGTCCTGTGTGAAGATGGAGTACTCCAGCCTATCTCAGCTAATTAAGTAGAGCCCTGGAAACATCAGTTGAGTAATTTTGATCCTTTTATTCTTAATCACCAGTCCACTTGCAAATCAAGCAGTGCTATCTAAGTTTGTTTGATGCGGTTTTGTTTTTCTATTCTCTAAACTGCAGAATGTTCAAGGAAGGCCAGGATATAGCTGTAAACTCTTATTCTCCTTGCAGACTCTCCAAGGCCAATATTTATGCTTGAGTTTTAATCTTTCGTTAAAATGAAGCCATTGGCTGAAAATTCTAATTCACTTAAAGATTTTCAGTATACAAAGAAAGAACAGAAAAGTGTTTTTTGTTTTTGTTTTTTTGCCATGAAGTGACTGTTCATGCAGTGTTTTTGAATTAAAGCCCATCAATTACTATCAACAATTTACAAGTGGTTTCCTGAGAAAGAGGAAGGCACTTTTATACTTCTAATATTTTAAAGAAGTAAGCCAGAGTCACTGCATCCAGTGCAGTTCCTGCAACTCCAGAGAGAGGACAACGAAAGATAAAGAAGACAGGAGGGGCCAGGGAGATGGCTCAGTGGAATAAGCGCTTCCCTGGCAAGTGCAAGGGCCTGAGTTCAATCCCCGGTTCCAAAAAAAAAAAAAAGACAGGAGACAGTATGTAAAAGCACCCAGGTTAGGTGGAGCCCTCTCTCCTGTTAGAAAGAAGGAAATATCAGCCCCTGTAGCTCATCTAATTTATAAAATCATCATATGAAGAAGTTCATGCAGAATTTAAGGTGAGGTTTGAACCCAGTAAAGGAAGAATATCTAATATTTAGCAGGACGGCATGCCTTCATGGCTTCATGTGGAACAAGGGCAAACTGTCCATGTTATCTCAAGAGAAGATCAAGTCACTATGAGCATCAGCTCCCTGAGCTGTGCACACTTAGGCATCCTTGGTAGCCTACATCTGTGCCAAGCTGAAAAGTAGCAGTGGCCTTGTGCTGGGTACCTGAGGTACAAACAGCTTCCCTCAAGAAGGACTTCCTAGACTAGTGGTGGCCACAGGCTATC